TTATTTTGAACAAGGAATCACCCCCTAAAGTTTTTCGCATTTGTTTTGAAACACCCTGTATAAAAAATTACTTTATATATGCGTTCTAGAAGGCGTTAGGAGTACAAATATACAAAATTTTTCTTGCGGAAATGCGTCATTTTCATTTTTCGGACTTTAGTATACCCGAAATCTGTTACATCAAAACTAGTCTTCGGGGTGTGTTTTAGACATTTTTCTAAACATAAAAACATAAAAACGTGTCTGCGGAAATTTTTTATTTTTATTTTACATAAAAAAATGCTTCGACTTTCGAATAGCCGAAATCAGTTACATGAAAAATGAACTTATATGTATTTCATACGAGCCTTTACGAGCAAAGAAATACAAAAAAATTCCTGCGGAAATGTGTCAATGTCATTTTGTGCACTTTGTTTTTCATACATTTTTCAGTTTAGAAGCTTACGGGGCCCGGGAGCGAATAGGGGTGCTGGGTGGGGTAAAATGTCTTCAGAATGTTGCACTTATTCTTGTTTTTATAAAAGGTTTACGTAAATAGGGCTGATTCAAAACAAAAAATCATTGGATCGTGCAGTTTTCTTTTATATTTTAATAATTAACTGTGATTTTGCAAAAATATTAGTATGGTTAGCATTTGGATTGCTTTGGTTAGCTTTTTTTCTTTGTGGAGGGTGTTAAGCTGTGGTTTTATATTTTAATAATTAACTGTGATTTTTAAAAATATTATTAGATTGGTTAGCATTTTAGACACTTTTAAATGATTTTGTTTCGTTCAAAAGTGATAAAAAGATAATTTTTTATGTATTTATGTTTACAAAAATGGAAAATGAAAATCAAGCATTTCCGCAGGAAATTTTTTATTTTCCTGAGTTTGTAAACGCTTCTAAAAACAAAATATATTTATTTTTTATATAACTGATTTCTGCTATTCTAAAGTCTATTAAATTTCCTCAGAAAATGGATACAGTTTATTTCCGCAGGAAAATTTTTATTTTCCTCAATTCGTGAATGCTTCTAAAAGGCAAAAATATATTTATTTTTTATATAACTGATTTCAGCTATTCTAAAGTCTAATAAATTTCCGCAGGAAAATTTTTGTGTTTATATGTTCAGAAAAATATTAAAAATAAAATGCAAAATTTTTTATAGCAGATTTCAGTTATTCTGAAGTGCTAAATTTGGAAATTACGCATTTCCGCAGGAAAATTTGTGTTTTCCGTGGTTCACAGTAGCTTTTTAAAGACAAAAATGTATTTTTTTTTCTAATAACTGATTTCAGCTAAACGAAAGTTGACCCGTTGATTTTCAAGCCAATTGAAATTTGAAATTTTTTGAAAAAAAAATTTTTTTTTTAATTTTTCGTTAAAACACATAATATCTTGTTAATATGGCAACTTAGGTAGTAGATTAAATTTACAAGAAAAAAGAAAGAAAAGATCTAAGTGTTCTCAAAATTTAAGAGAAAAATATTTTCTATTTTCAAAGTAAAATAATTCTGTTATTTTGGACTTATTTGAAAAACGGTAATGAGAACATAGAAAATATGTTTCTTTTATCGAGATCTACCATCAGCTCTGAAAATATTTGCACTTCTTTAAGACTCGTCACAACCATTAAATTATGCATTTAATTTTCGTAAGATATACAGGGTGTTCCATTTAAATTAAACAAGTTATTGTCATTTAAAGCTAGTAATTACTTAATATAAATTTTTAGACACTCTGTATGAGGTAGTATTTTGTTTATTATTGCAACATAATATATGATCAATAAATAAACTACTGTAAATATTTAGTATTAAAATCTTTGATACCCTTGGAGAAATGAACCCTTAAAATCTTTACTGCAATTTCATAAAATTGAAAATATTTCAAAAACGGTTTAAGTGTGATAAACCCTAAGCAAATTTAATCAAATTTACCATTACTTCAATGTTAGAATCTAAAAATAGAATAATATACCGGGTGTTCCATTTAAAAACCAAGCAAAACTATAATATTTTTTACTTATTTGGGACACTCTGTATCTTGTTAAAATTATTTTTAAATTGTAGCTCTAATAATCCTTCAACGAACCCAAAACTTACAATTTGTAAAAATCTAATCGTTTAACTACAATACTCCGTGTAGTATGTGGTGAACAACCGTGTATACAATTTAAATACCTTTTTCTTTTTATTTATATAATTACAATCAGTTCTCTAAATACAAGAAATTATAAAACTATATAATTTCAATATTAATTTAATAATGTTACATATAAAATAAATTTTACTTGAAAATAATTTGATATAAAGTAAAGAATATTAATTTGTGGTAAAGAGTATCGAACAAAAGTCAGAAAAACTTAATTTAATTTCAAATGGGCCATGATGAGTGCGAGAAGAAGACCAAGAGACCAAGTTTTGATACCGGTCGCTTTGCTTCCCAGAGGGCGTTGCAGAGTGTGAGTATTGCAGTTGTCCGAACTGCATTGGGCACAGTTAAATTGGCTTCCAGTTGTCCTTGCTGGTACAAGACTACCGCGAATTCTTTCGCACAGGTATGGCTCAGGTAGATCACTCGTTTGGCATGTTCTTATGGTGAAAGCTTCATTACCTAAAAGATATATTAAGCCATATTAAACAGGGTTGAAAAAAAAAACGTTTTTTATGGTTTAAAAGAGTCTTTATTGTTTTAAACACGATTGTAACTCTTCATTAAACTTAAGTTTTCTTGTTGCTCTTCATTAAACTTATTAAGTTTAATGAGGAGCAACTAAAACCCACATTCAAAAGATATATATAACATTAGATATTTTTGATTAGCTCGTTTACGAGTTATCGCTGATTTCTTTTTAAATATTTCTCCTTTCTTATGGCCCTGTATTTACTTATGACAAACTTATGAGCACCAGTCAAGGTAAAAGATAACTGTCAAATGAAGTTGTCATTCCAGAAATTTACCTATTTAGTGCTTTATTATTATTGAAAACTCATTCCTACATCGGAAATCTTAGAAATGTATTTATAAATACAAATTAATATGAATTAAAGTAAAATAAAGTAATCAATTACAAGGTTAATTATAGTATTATTACAATATTCAATAACTTATTAATTTAGGTACTATTAAATTGTTAGAACTTTAGGATTTAAGATGTTCAAATATTCCTCCATCGACTGCTAGACAATAACCCAGGCGATCATAAAATTCTCTTCTTACATTCGCTAGTTGGTAAACTGAAATTCTATTGCATTTGGCAGAAATAGCATTTTTTAACTCGTCTAGATTTGGGTATTTTTTATCCTTGAATATCCTATTTTTAAAATGGCCCCAGAGAAAGAAATCATTTGGCGAAATATCAGCGGAGGATTGTCTCACAATGTGCCATTTGTGTCCAGGAAGGGTTCATAGTTTCATAGATGTCGATTTTCGAAAGAATTCAGAACATGTATATTATTTCGTATATTTTTCATTTTATTGATTTTATGGAAAGCACTGTTCATTAAAATATTGTATCCTATGTTATAGGGCTTGTTTCTCTCTACAATTTCCTGTCTCACAATGTACCGTTTGTGTCCAGGAAGGGTTCATATTTTCATAGATGTCGATTTTCAAAAGAAATCAGAACATGTATATTATTTCGTATATTTTTCATTTTATTGATTTTGTGGAAAGCACTGTTCATTAAAATGTTGTATCCTATGTTATAGGGCTTGTTTCTCTCTACAATTTCCTGTCTCACAATGTACCGTTTGTGTCCTGGAAAGGTTCATAGTTTCATAGATGTCGATTTTCGAAAGAAATCAGAACATGTATATTATTTCGTATATTTTTCATTTTATTGATTTTATGGAAAGCACTGTTCATTAAAATGATGTATCCTATGTTATAGGGCTTGTTTCTCTCTACGATTTCCTCTCTCACAATGTACCGTTTGTGCCCAGGAAGGGTTCATAGTTTCATAGATGTCGATTTTCGAAAGAAATCAGAACATGAATATTATTTCGTATATTTTTCATTTTATTGATTTTATGGAAAGCACTCTGTTCATTAAAATGTTGTATCCTTTGTTATAGGGCTTGTTTCTCTCTACAATTTCCTGTCTCACAATGTACCGTTTGTGTGCAGGAAGGGTTCATATTTTCATAGATGTCGATTTTCAAAAGAAATCGGTATATTTATTTTATTTCGCATATTTTTCATTTTATTGATTTTATGGAAAGCACTGTTCATTAAAATGATGTATCCTATGTTATAGGGCTTGTTTCTCTCTACGATTTCCTCTCTCACAATGTACCGTTTGTGTCCAGGAAGGGTTCGTAGTTTCATAGATGTCGATTTTCGAAAGAAATCAGAACATGTATATTATTTCGTATATTTTTCATTTTATTGATTTTATGGAAATCACTCTGTTCATTAAAATGTTGTATCCTATATTATAGGGCTTGTTTCTCTCTACAATTTCCTGTCTCACAATGTACCGTTTGTGTCCAGGAAGGGTTCATAGTTTCATAGATGAACCCTGTTTGAAAAACGTTAAATTAAATATCATATTTAAAATACAGTCGTCCTTTTTGTACATGACTACAATACAACTAAAAAAACTAATTTTTTGGACCTGGTCGTCAGTGTGTTCGAGCCCTTACTAGATATTTCGAAAATTCGAAAAAATTTTGGCTATTTTAAAAATTGTCCCAATTTCATTATAATCTATTTTAGACAAAAAAATTTCAGATAAAAGTTGTAGACAATCACATCCTTAATGAGATTGTGTCCTCCGTTTTTTTTATAAAGCCTGTCATTTTTGACATATGACACAAACATTTTTTTTTAAATGGAAAAATGGAAGTTGGCCATGACTTCACAAAAAGCGCCATTTTTTAAGCTTTTTAGCGATATAAGCTATATGTTCTTTTTCGAAAAATTACTGAGTTATAGCCAATTCTTATGTTTTTTTTACTAATTTCACTTAGTTGGCATGATTACATTTAATGAGTTGTTTCTAGAAACACATACCTTCAAAAACTGTTGCAGTAATACACTGGTGATAGACCCCATCAATCATAGTAGATATCCCTGGATTGATCTTCTTTTCTATCGCTCTCAGTTTGGCTTCATTTTCCGTTTCAACATTGTTGGTACTTCTGATAAAAGAAAAGTAAATGAAACATCATTGGTGATGTTTTAAATAAATTCTGTTATTCAGAATATTAAAGAAGCGCCTTTACGAGACAAGTGAATATCAAAAAGCTTCTGCTAGTTGATTCAAAATGGCGACCGTACGAGCGTAAAGCCGTACTTCTAACTGCTAAAATTTTGGCAAAGATCAAAGAAGAATATCTACAGGGTTATTCACCACATACGACACGGAGTATTGTAGCTAAACGATGAGATTTTTACAAATTGTAAGTTTTGGGTTCGTTGAAGGACTATTAGAGCTACAATTTAAAAATATTTTTACAGAGTGTCCCAAATAAATAAAAAATATCAAAGTTGTATTTTTTTAAATTATTACATTTTTAGTTTCTACGATTAAAATAAAGCAGTAAATTTGATTAAGGTTTATTATACTTAAACCTTACCGTTTTTTGAATATTTTCAATTTTGAAATTGCAGTAAAAAATTTTAAAAAGCTTCATTTCTCCAAGGGTATCAATGTTTTTAATACTAAATATTTAATGAAGTTTATTTATTGATCAGTTATTGTGTTGCAATAATAAAAATAATACTACCTTATACAGAGTGTCTAAAAATTTATTTTAAATAATTATTAGCTTCAAACGGCAATAACTTCTTTAATTTAAATGGAATGCCCTGTATATTTTAGGAGAATCAGATGAACAATTAAATTGTCTATCAAAATAAGGTGTTATACCATTTTTTACCTATCCCTTCAAGTTTTCGTAGAAAATGCATTTTCTTATAATTTATACCTCATTTATCAATATATCCATGGAATATTGACATTTTAGATTGTTTTTAAAGCAACAAATGTACAAAATGTACAGACTAGTAATATTATCGTTTTTAGCAAAACGATAATATTACTAGCCCATTTGTATGCAAAAAGAAAACTATCTAAATCTTTATAAAAGAGTATACCATTAATTAAATATAACACCATTATTTCCGCCCATATACTAATTAATTACATACTTAATTGTGTTCGTTAATAAATTATTATAAATAAATGTGGATTTGAGTCAGAAATCAATATAATAATAAGTTATCAAATTAAAGTCTCTGTTGTTATAAATAAGCATTTATTAAAAATGAAATATCATTTTTAAGGTGTTACTTTTTATCACACTGTCTAATGCCCATACAAAATTCAGTTTTTTAGTATTTGGAGCAATTATTATTAATCAACGCAAACAGTCAGTTAATGTAGTTTGAATACTGGAATCATATTAATTGATCCTCTTTAACAAATATTTAAACAGTTTTTTTTTATTTTTTAATGAAATAAACGAATTATATCGACAATATTAGTATCTGTACTCTTTAAAAATCTTTAAAAATAATCTAAAATGTCAATAGTCCAATTACAAGAAAATGCATTTTCTACGGAAACTTAAAGAGATAGATAAAAAATGATATAATATAATTTGATAGACAATTAAATTGTGCATCTGATTCTCGTAAAATATATAGGGTGTTCCATTTAAATTAAACAAGTTATTGCCGTTTGAAGCTAATAATTATTTAAAATAAATTTTTAGAACACTCTGTATAAGGTAGTATTATTTTTATTATTGCAACACAATAACTGATCAGTAAATAAACTACAGTAAATATTTAGTATTAAAAACTTTGATACCCTTGGAGAAATGAAGCCTTAAAATTTTTACTGCAATTTCACAAAATTGAAAATATTTCAAAAACGGTAAGGTTTAAGTGTAATAGACCTTAATCAAATTTACCTTTATTTTAATCGTAGAAACTAAAAATGTAATAATATACAGGGTGTTCCATTTAAAAAAATACAACTTTGATATTTTTTACTTATTTGGGACACTCTGTATCTTGTAAAATTATTTTTAAATTGTACCTCTAATAGTCCTTCATCGAACCCAAAACTTACAATTTGTAAAAATCTCATCGTTTAGCTACAATACTCGTGTCGTATGTGGTGAACAACCCTGTATAGGTCAGAAAATGTATTAGCTACAGATCTACTGACTAATAATTTGACACAAGATGCTGGAGATTGGATGCAGATTAATTTAACTTAAATTATTTTTTTTTGTGTGAAAGATTAAATAAAAAAACAAGACACATTAACGCGTAACGCTATTTGTAGTCGACTTAAGCTATACAGGGTGGTCCGAACTGTATTCCGGAAACGTTGCCAGCATATTCTGCAGATAAAAATAAGTAAAAAAGTTCGTAAAAATGTATGTCCTAAAATGCTTGGTTTCGGAGATACAGGGTGTAGAAGTTTCATTTTTATTTCGATTTTTTCCAAATAATTTTTAAAGTACCGTCAATATTTAGATGAAAATTGGTGTCTAGTGAGTTTTTTGGCAAGAGAATTTTGATTTTGATATCAATATGACTTCTATTTGTGGAGGGCGCCATCTACATGTGTCTTAACTGTTTTGAAGAGTAATAACTTTTCGTCCGTACCTGTATAAAATTACTGAGTAAAATAATATACATTTACGATGTCTTTTACGTAAAAAAGGTATCTTGGTAAAAATCGTTACGAGCAACCGTTCTCACGATATTTAGAATGGAAATAGTCAATACATGTCATTATTGACAATAAAATAAACAGGTTGAGTTAAAAATATATGTAGGTGGCGCCACCTACAAGTAGGAGTGATATTGATATCAAAATCAAATTTCTCATGCCAAAAAAGTTCCAAAAACCAATTTCCATCCAAATATTGACAATGCTTCATAAATTATTTGGAAAAAATCGAAATAAAAATGAAAATTCTACACCCTGTATATCCGAAACTAAGCATTTTAAGACATATTCATTTATAGGAACTTTTTTGCTTATTTTTATCTGCAGAATATGCTGCCGAGGTTTTCGGAATACAGTTCGGACCACCCTATAAAGAAATTACTTTTAAAGATAGAAAATCAGTCTTGCTACCATTACATGTTTGCCAAGCTTCAGGATTAACTTGGAAAAGCTTGATGTTGCTACACGATTAGTATATTAGTACTGTATGATCAAAAAAGGTAAAATTTCATGGTTTGAAAATGAGAAAACACTAACATTCCTCATATAATTTTCTGAGACCGTTTTTTTATCATATGGTTTGGTTTGCATTTACAAGCGTGAAAATGCCTTCTGAATACAAGCTTAGGCATTTGTGTAGTCTCGGGGCTTCGGCAAGCTTCCACACAAAATTATATAAGTCCGTCATCAAGCTAGAGTCGAAGTACTTACAGTAAGGTACCACAGCCTGCAACTCTGATGTTCGCTTGAAAATCTGGATGACTGGCATTGTTACAGTACGTATTTCCGAAGCATCTGTGACATGTTATTACTTGGGATAAAACTAAAACAAAATAACATTTTAGTATATTAAAGTAATATCACCAAATATACAAGATGAGTCTTAAATAAGTGCAAATATTTTAGGGGTGGTATATTTCGACCCCAGAAGGTGAGTTTTTTTCGCGAAACAAAAAATTAAAATTTTTAGTTAAATAACCTAACACTTATTTAAGACTCACCCGGTATAGTATCTTTTTGTGATACTAGATTTAAATTATTATATAAAATATGTGATTACAGTTGAGGGTTGGAACCTTTGGTGTTACACAGCAAAATAAAAACACTAAATCACCACAATACACCAAAACACTTTTACTTTTACACTGGACGCGCGTTTCGCTAACCATGTTAGCATCATCAGCAGATGATTATAAACTAAGTTATCAGCAGATGATTATAAACTAGTTTATAATCATCTGCTGATGATGCTAACATGGTTAGCGAAACGCGCGTCCAGTGTAAAAGTAAAAGTGTTTTGGTGTATTGTGGTGATTTAGTGTTTTTATTTTGCTAAAATATGTGCAAAAAAAGAAGCTTAAAAATGTTTACTAGCAGACCTTGCAGTCGAACATTATTCTTTTTAGAACCTCTTTTAGTACGAAGTGTACAGGGTGGGTCAAATTCGACGCTTTTAAATGGAAACACCCTTTTCTATAGGAGATAGACGAAAACTAATATCGGTGTCTGGAGCTCAATTTTTATCAAAAACATGATGGTGAAAACCGCACATCGATATCTGTTACCGTTTCGGAGTTACGGGGTGTTTTTCAAAAATATGCATTTTTAACAAATCCCTGTAACTTTTTTGCTATGGAAAATTGTGTATTTTTATGAAAACATTTCCAAAGCACCTTTTTACGTGGAATCTAATGGTTTAAGTATAATTTTTTTTAAATTAATAATTTAAGAATTATCAACAGAACAACTTGATGTTTTGCTCGATTCCTCTTCGAGATATAGAGTGTATAAAAATTCGCCCGCTTTAAATAAGTAGGCTTTGAACGGTACCGGCTGTAATGCAAAAAAAAATCTAGCTGTGAGCATCTATTAAAACGAAAATAATATTTGCTATGAGAGATGCAGAATTTTATAACAATTTAAAATATATTTAACCAACATCAACACATTTAAAATATATCTATTAACAATAAAAATAAATAGCAAACCAAGACATCAGATTTTGCTACAGGTGTTCGACATATCAACCCTCTTCTGTTATGGACAGACGGGACAGTTTTTGAAAATTTCTCGCGGAATTCATTAACTGAATGGGGGTGAAAGATACTCTGTCATAACTGTTAAGTATTTTTAATTCTGGTCTAGATTATACGGAAGAATAAGGAACCTTAATTCTTCCGCAAATATATCCATAGGATTAATATATCCATGGGCACTAAGTCAGGCGGCTTGGACGACCAACGGCTGGGATCTCGGTTAGCTATCCAATTATTCTTGAAATTGGCTGCAAAAATTTGCTGCTAACTTTAGCTTTCAAAGGCGGTGCTGTTGTCTTACTGGAAAAATATGTTTTCGAGTTCCATTAAGGGCATATCGTCAATAAGGGGTCCAAAGCCTACTAGTTAAAAGTGGCGAACTTTTAAAAATTCTGTATTTCGAAGGGGATTATAACAAAATATCAAGTGTGCTATATTTTGGAAAGGTAGTTTTAAAATTATTTTAGTTAATTAAAAATATAGAGGGTGTCCCAAATAAAAATCATTTTTCTGTTGATAACTCTTAAATTATTAATTTTAAAATAATTATACTTAAACCATTAAATTCTACGTAAAAAGGTGCTTTGGAAATGTTTTCATAGAAATACAAAATTTTTCATAGCAAAAAAGTTACAGCGATTTGTTAAAAATGCACATTTTTGAAAAACACCCCGTAACTCCGAAACGGTAACAGATATCGATGTGCGGTTTTCACCATCATGTTTTTGATGAAAATTGAGCTCAAGACACCGATATTAGTTTTCGTCTATCTCCTATAAAAAAGGGTGTTTCCATTTAAAAGCGTCGAATTTGACCCACCCTGTACAAGATACAAGTAACTTAATAGCCGTAAAAAACTCATCGCAACTTTACTAGAATATTTTGAACGGGAAAGCGCTAGTAATGGCTCTTTATGTCCTTTAAGTGATGTTAAGTTTTTTTGATGTTAATAATAACTGTTTATATATTTATAATTAATTTAATTTTTTTTCCTAAAATATTTTGATTAAAAGAAAATATGTAAAAGTGGACAACACTGTGCCTGTCAAGCTTAATCACGTGACTAAAAGTTTATTTGATATGAACTGTAGCTAAGTATTGTTACAGATTTCCTTGCAAAAATTATCCTAAGTTGGCAGGCTGGTTATAAATAGGCTGTGATAGCAGCGTAGTAGAATTTACAAAAATATTTCAACACTTGAACTGAAAAAGCACTGTCTCAACTATTAATTTATATCAGCAGTTAAATTACTGAACTCACAGCTATAACTCACAAAATTTATTAATCTATATGTAGATTAAGAACATTCAGAACAAGTACACTTACCAATGGATGGCGCAAATAAGACAATAATAAGTCCAAACATCCACTTCATCTTCGTAATTACTGTATGTCCGACTTCTAATAGACAAAAGACCGAAGTGAAGACAGCGAAAATATTATAAATTTGCCTTAATAGAAAAGAATACTGCAACAGATTAAGATAAAACAATATTTTTTTTTTAAATAACAGATAGGATTAAGGGAAATAGACAAGTCATACAGTTTGGTTGTATTTCACTCAAAGTTATTGTAAACAAATAAATATACTTTTTTCTACTTTGACATGTCAAAAGTAATAGGGTAGATTAACCATTACGTTCATATCTTCGCATCTAAAACACTATATAATAAAAGAAAAAGATGGATTTTATTGTAGTAATAAAAGAGTTATATTACTTTAAATATAATTTGAGATAGATGATATACAGGGTGGCGCACCTCATTCGCCTCGGTTGATTATACGAAAACGGGGACGGCAGTGTGCATAATTTAAAATTATTTTGAAATGTACATGGTATATCAGAAGGTATGTGGATGATATTCTTGCTGTTTTTGACACACATTCAGACACCATAGATAATTTTATTTCTAAGTTAAATAATCGTTTTCCTTCCATTAAATTTACGCATGAAATTGAGAACAACGACAGATTACCATTTCTAGATGTATTAGTTATTAGAAATACTGATAATTGCCTGGAATTTGATATCAATAGGAAAAATACGACCACATGCAGATATATTCCTAATGAATCACATCATAGTGTTGAACATAAAATGGCTAGATTAAATTTCTTAGTTCATAGATTACTTAGTTTACTACTTTCCAACGAAAGATATGAAATAGAAAGAGATTATATTAGGAATGTAGCTGAGTGTAATGGATATTCTCCTTCACTAGTTGATAAATTAATTAGAAAACGTATGTATAGGTTAATGATTTCTGAAAATTCGACTTTTTTGAAGTGGAGAAAGATACGTCTAAATATTTTTCGATACCAATAGAGAGTTTTCCCGTGGTCTAAAAGGAATTTTTAAGAATGTCAATTATAAACTTGTGTATAGTGCTAATAATAAATTACAGCAATTATTAGGTAATCCAAAGGATAAAACACCTCCACTGGAAAGGTCGGGTATTTATGAAATTTCTATTAACTAGATTTAAAGAACATTTAGCTCAGATAAGATATGGTAGACCGGATAAATCTTGCGTTGCCGAACATATTGTTGATAAAGACCATTGTATAGATCTTAATAATTTAAAATTAATTAAACAAGTCTCAAATTACAGGCAATTAGATGCATATGAAAGCATCAGAATTAATAAATGTAAAGGTAGTATGAACAGAGACAACGGTCCAATTCCTTCAAGTTCTTTGTTCCTACTACTCTAGTGGCGGAAATCTAACTCTTACGCTCAGTGGGCTCTGACTCGGTTGGCTAGATTTTGCCACGCCCAGTCGGTACCCACTGGGCGAGTATATAAACGCTCAACTTGTAGATTGTAGTTTAGTTTATAATCATCTGCTGATGATGCTAACATGGTTAGCGAAACGCGCGTCCAGTGTAAAAGTAAAAGGGTTTTGGTGTATTGTGGTGATTTAGTGTTTTTATTTTACTAACAACAAAAATAAAACACTATATCACCACAATACACCGAAACACTTTTACTTTTACACTGGACGCGCGTTTCGCTAACCATGTTAGCATCATCAGCAGATGATTATAAACTAAAAAACAATCTAAAATTGGAGCGTTTATATACTCACCCAGTGGGCACCGAGTGGGCGTGACAAGATCTAGCCAACCGAGTCAGAGCCCAGCGAGCGTAACAGTTAGATTTCCGCCACTAGAGTAGTGGGAACAAAGAACTTAAAGGAATTGGACCGTTGTCTCTGTTCATACTATCTTTACATTTATTAATTCTGATGCTTTCATATGCAACTAATTGCCTGTAATTTGAGACTTGTTTAAGTCATACATATGTCAAAATTGCTTTTTATTCGTTATTGCACATAATTTTTTAACCAATAACTCAATAATTATGCAATAAACAGATTGTTCTGTAGATATATGTACATGAACTGCAGAGATCATTCTTTAGAACTTCTGGAATAATAAGATTGTTTTATTGAACTTCGTATTTTTTTATGAGAAGGAGGGCAGTTTTTCCATTTTTCAAGATTTTAATTATTTATAAAATAATTATAATATAAACTCGTATAAGTAACTGTTTGTCAGTGTTTTAATATGGGATTAGAACAATTAAATTTAAATTTCTTTATGGCTTAATCCCTTTATTATATACACCAATATATCTTTTCCAAATCTCCATCATAAATATCTACTGTTCTCTTATTATTTATATCCAAAATTTCCGAAAATTCAAGTAGAGTCCAGTTTAAGAAAACAATTTATTTTATCTTAATATCTTACAGAGATATAAAAATTACATCTAAAAAAAGCTTAAAGCTTCTCGTGTTATCTGATAGCAAATAAGAATATAACAAATAATAATAAAAGATTTTTGCTAAGTGTCGTTGTAATGGTGTTATTACAAAGAGGTTCGCTACAGGTCACGTTAAAGATGATTTTAGGTTTTTGGATCGAATGTAGTTTTTCTGACAGTTCTTCGGCATCTCGAAGTACGCAGTCCCTCATGGTGGCCAGAACGTTCCTACCGGGCATTAGAGCTGTAAGATAATAAACATTTATTTTTTAATTTGCATTTGAAAATGTTACATTAAAAAATAATGGCGAATGCGCAAGAATACAGTTATCTTATAACATATTAATTAAGAAATACCTATTATAAATAAATGTATTACTTCATCCCGCTACAGAAAAAAAAACTTTAAATGCTTCTTATGAGTGAAGACAATTTTTCTATGATTGTGAATAAAATAATTAATTATTAAATATTTCTTTCTTACTTTCATATTTAATAATGGCACATTTATCTTCTGTACAATTCTTCTGTTTTATCGAACTTAAAACACCGTTGTTACACTCTTTGGTGGTCTGATGACAGTGGTAACATAATATAGCTTCACCTGTAAATTGAATATCAAAAAATTATTAATATAAATATGTATATAAAAAAATTATTAAAGATGAAAAATGTTTTATTTATATCGAGATTTGGGCCAAAAGAAATGCTTACAATTAGGAAGGCAATATTATTTTTTATAGTTATACAGGTTGTCCTAGAAAAGCAAATCTTTATTGTTTGATCTTGTCGCAGAACAGTCTTGTTTGATTTATTGTTGTGTTATGTGGTTTAATTATTTTTTTGACAACAAAAACTGTGTTTTGGTTATTTCTAATTATAATAAAAATTTACTAAACATGTGGAAAAATTACAGCATCAAAGAACAGTATGGGCACAGCTTTTTTCAGTATCAGCTGGTCATCTCTTGATGTAGTAAGGTTCCCAACCGTCCCGGTTTGGCCGGGATTAACCAGGAATCAGAAAGTTTGTCCCGGCGAAAGTTTTGCCTTGGCCGGGACCTGGAAACTAAAAAAGTGTGTACTACACACATAATAAATTTTAATGTCTAATATTTAATGTTTTGTTTCAATTATTTAAAAGCTTAAAAATAATTGTCCCGGAATCGCCGATGCTCAAGTTGGGAACCCTATGATGTAGAGAGTGTCTTTTGAGCACCAGTCCCGATGGTTATTTATAAACGAAGCTTTAATGGAGTTCAGAACCCGACTTAACAGAACTGAAGGTACGGGAGTATCAATTTATAGGTAGGTACCTTGTTTATATATTCTTAAAGTTGCCCAACCGACTAGACAAAATGTGCTGCCAACTGGAGGACAAATCGTGAACCTTTCGGGGCGGAGTCAAAAATATCGATTATTTTCCTCAGAGTAATGTAATAATATAGCCCGGGTTTCTGCGAACTTTAATAGTGATCAGCTGATTAAGAAATTTAAACGAAACTTTTTTTTATAATTTTATTGTAAATTGTGAATTATTTTTGCCTGTTATTTTAAGAATTCTAAACCGTATTAACAAAGAAATTATTATTTTGATATGTTGGTACATTATTTATAATAAGTTATGATAATGCTAATGCTGTTAATTAATATTAAAAAAAAGTTACATACCTATTTTAATTTGATTTAATGCAGGTTTATAAAAGAATAATTTCATTCTTAGATTATTTTATTCTAAATCCAGTGCTTTATGAATTTTACGATATTTTTTTTGAAAACATAAAACGTTTTACATTTTTCATGCCAACTAATTGTAATGGTATTATTGGTATGAAAATTTGCCAAGAAAGAAAAGAATTGGCTATAACTTGTAATTTTTCGAAAAAAACATATTATACCTATATCGCTGACAGGCTTAAAAAATGGCGCTTTTTATGAAGTCATGGCCAACTATGGTTTCCATTTAAAAAAACATAATGTTTGTGTCATATGTCAAAAATGACAGGCTTTAGAAAAAAAAAGAAAACACAAACTCATTAGGTATGTGATTATCTACAACTTTTATCTGAAATACCATATGATCGAATTAAAACGGCGTCAGCGATGGCTATGAAATGACGATCCTTGATATTTCCCATATAATTTTACATATAAAATGACAACGATCTTCATTTCATAGCCATCGTTGGCGCCGTTTTTATTCGATCATACGGTAGATTATAATGGAATTAGAGACAAGTTTTAAAATAGCCAAAATTCGTTCTTTTCGAAATATCTAGTAAACCTTGAACTTCTCCGAAAAATCCGAAAGGCGCATATTTATGACCCCACAAAACTGCAATTCTTTTCCCATTTAACCGACTCTCTATCTCCAGTAGTTTCCGAGATACCCATAGAGAACATCGTAGGAAACTCACCCTGTATAGTATTTAGAACCTAACTATTGTTATTATTTGAATAGATTAATTTGATTAATAAGACTCGATTAATTTAATTTAAAATAAATTTGATCAGAGTTTTTTTCCGTATATTTTACTACCAAAAAACCAAAATTATATGATAACGCACTTTTCAACGGAGTTGAAGGAAGATATAGTGTATCTATCACAATACTTAATAGAATTACTACAATTAGAAGAAAAACAAAAAGACAAAATACCCAAATACCTTCACTTCACCTACTACTCATCTACAAAATAAACTAATCTAATCTCTTATAAAAACACTATACAACTACTTGTATTCTACACTGAAAAAAATATCAAACTTACTAATTAATCAAACAAAAAGAAAAAATAACCAAATTATCCCTTCATCTACTACTTAACAACAAAATAATAAACTATAAAAACACTACTAAACTATTTCTGGTCTTCTACACTAAACATTATAATTAAACTTAATAAAATTAATCTAATTTTACTACTTTACTACAACCACTACAACTACAAAGAAATAAGAACATTTTTTAAAACCAAAAGAAACAGAACTTCGATACGTGCAACCAGTATAATAGATCAAGCGGACAAAGAATATAAAATACTTTAAAAATGTGCATTCAGAAAGAAAAAATATCTCGAAAATTATCTAAACAAACATTTTTTTTTCTTATCAGTGAAAAGCATCGGCCTCGTCGGCTTTGCGAAATTTGTCGGGTATTTACAATGGTCGAATTGTATAATTACAAGCTTTTATAGCATATCTAATAGATAAAAAGTATCTGGTCGATTAGTAACCGTCCGACTCATTGGCACAGTCCGAAAATTATCGATTTTGATTTTCTCTGTTTTTATTGGTCGCTTCAAAATTCAGAGTAACAAAAAATATTTTTCTGTAGTAAAAGACCATGAAATACGCCCCGCCATCTGGTGCTTTACATCCATAAATGTCTTAGGTTGAGCTACTTTAAAAATTCATATACAAGGGTAGGTATATGAAGATTTCTAGGAAAATGATTGGCAAAAGTCAACAGGCTGGTAATGAATAGGTTGTTATATGGTCTAAATAAAAGATTCTAAAATAATTGAGGAGTTTGGGAAAATCATCAAAATGTAGGCGTAGTTTACACAGCATTATTTATGACCAGTGACACTTACATATATCTATTTTTAAATTATTATAAAAGCATCTTTCAAAAATAAACATTATCTATATTTTACATAATATAAAAGTAGAAAAAAAACGTATCATACCTATCTACATCAACTATAGATGAATGATTTGGATTTGATTAGATTATTGGTGAAGAAATTAATTATAAATTTATACCTGGTGCGTCTCAAAAGTGGCTCACCCCTATAACTTTTTTTATTTTTTCAGATAAAAAAAACGAGATTTGGTATGTTAGTATATGACATAAATTAGGATTGATTGACATATTCAAATGTTCACCGGGAGTGACGATTATTCGATAGAAATGACACTCTGAATAGAATGACATATCATATGTCAACTTTTGACATATTCGCTCAAAAACAAATTGCATTTTAAATTTCAATCTAGAGTGCCATGGCTGTTTTATAAACACTAATTTTTAATGAAGGAGCCTTGGAAAAATAGATTTGATCGCCTAATGTTTTTAGTGTCTTGTTCTGGTCGGTTCAAAGATGCCCAAAACGTATTTTTAATCATATCTCAATTTTTTCAAATGGAACGAGGGTGGCTCATTAGCATATTTTAGGAAAAAAAAAATTTACAAATAATTTGATACCACACACTTGGTTGTTCGAGTCAAATTTTCGTTATGAACCGCATGTTATAATTTCAAATAAACCATATGCGAAAATATCAAAAGTTGACATATGATAATATTTATGTCATTCTATTCAGAGTGTCATTTTCTATCGAATAAAGTAAAAAAAATACCGAGGGTGCCATTTAAAAATCAAAAGTAGTAATTTCCGGTGAAACAGGAAGTGACCGAAAACAGCTGAATACGTCAATCAATCCTAATTTATGTCATATACTTTATCTCGTTTTTTTAAATAAAAAAATAAAAAAAAAGTTATAGGGGTGAGCCACTTTTGAGACGCACCCGGTATATAACACTGATGAAGGCTGCATTGAGGGCCGAAACGTTTGTCTATAGACTAAATAAAGTTTTTTAAACAAGATAAAAACATAATTTCAGTGTTTTCGGAATCTAAATGTCCCAAGAAAATTAATTTAAGAATATATCGATACAATAAGGTTCAAGAACTAAAAATTTCCAAGGATATTTTTTGGTAAATATTAATTAAATTAATTTTGTTAAATATTAATATAATGTTTTTGTTAAATATTAAATATTATCAACAATTGTTTACTGTGATATTTTTTAAAACCACGATGGATATATGGAATTTGAAGATACTTGAAGTGATTGTAGTTTTTTTTTAATTTACAGATACCATAGATACAATCGAAAAAAAAACGGCGTCAAAGACAGCTGAGGAATGTCAATCGATAATAAATATTGGCGAGGTCAAGCTTTATAGACGTCATTTACTTAGCCCGCACTCCCGCAATCCTCTTTATTTTATAATGGCGCTTACTCTCAGCAGAAAGCCTTAAAAAGTTTGTAATTTATTTTTATATTGAGTAAAAATTATTTTTAAGCAGTGTAGTTAAAATTAAAAAAAGGATTTTTTTGAAAATAGATTAATTTGTGAGTCTGCAAACGTTCTATCTTCCTATAATTAATGTTAATTTTTCACAAGTTTTATGTCAATTTTGAGTAAATGACATCTAGAGATGAACCTCGACAAAATTATTTTCGATTGTCATTCCCCAGGCGTCTTTGACGCCGTTTTTTCGATCATACGTGATTGTTTCCTTCAAATGTCTTGTTATTCTTATAAATATCGACTATTAAAAGTTTAAAAAAAAATCACATAAATAAAAACTTAACACTTTTAACTTTACCTTCTGGAATATAACTGACAGTAGTTAAAACTATCAACACATAACTAAAAACGTCCATATTTCCCTTAAATAATACCCTTATTCAACACTTCAAACTCTTGTCCCACTTATATTTATAAGATTTCTTCTTCCACAACACTCAATCTCGACTTCATATTCCGTTTGTTCCTGTCCGACATGATCGAAACATCGCACTCTAGTGCTGTTGATCTAGTAAAAATCAGCAATTCGCACGATGCCCGATTATTTTTGGAACTCCACTCGGATTATCCAGAGCATACAACAGCGATAAATCCACCGCACCGTCCGGAGATTGGAGTAGATTCCTTTTTTTTGGTTTATTTGTTTGTATTTCTTGCGGGAGGGGACATGGAGGGGACTTGGCAACGATGTCCTGCTTTCGCGCAGCGAGCGAGGTCTTTGACTTGGGAGATATATTTTGACCTATTCAAAAGAACAATCTGTATAGATAGTTAAAACAAAAAAAAACAAGTGTAGTTAGCTCCAAAAACTGATAAAATCTTAAAAACTAATATAAAATGCGTTAAAAAAAATTATAGTTGATTATTGATAATTTAGAGCAACAAAAAAAATGTTGAAGGCAATACACCTACAGAGTTGTTCACCACATCCGACACGGAGTACTGTAGCTAAACAATAAGATTTTTACAAATTGTAAGTTTTGGGTCCGTTGAAGGACTATTAGAGCTACAATTTAAACATAATTTTACAAGATACAGAGTGTTCCAAATAAGTAAAAAATATTATACTTGTATTTTTTTAAATGAAACACCCTGTATATTATTCTATTTTTAGATTATACGATTGAAAGAAACGTAGGTTTGATTAAGGTTTATCACACTTAAACCTTACCGTTTTTAAAGTATTTTCAATTTTGTGAAATTGCAGTAAAAAAATTAAGACTTTATTTCTCCAAGGGTAACAAAGTTTTTAATATTAAATATTTACTGAAGATTAGTTATTGATCAGATATTGCGTTGCAATAATAATAATTATACTATCTTATACAGAGTGTACAAAAATTTATATTAAAAAATTACTAGCTTTTAACGGCAATAACGTGTTTAATTTAAATTGAAAATTTAAATGGAATTTACAAAGATTTAACATAGTTTTCTTTTATTGCAATATTATTATTTTTATCACCTGTATATTTTGTACATATGTCGCTCTCAAAAAAATCTAAAATGTCAATATTCCATAGGTATAGTGATAAATGAGGTCTAAATTATAAGAAAATATATTTTCTACGAAAACTTGAAGAGATAGGTAAAAAATGGTATAATACATTTTGATAGACAATTAAATTGTGCGTCTGATTCAGGTAAAATATGCAGGGTGTTCCATTTAAATTAAACAAGTTATTGCCGTTTAAAGCTAGTAATTATTTAATATAAATCTTTGGACACTCTGTATAAGGTAGTATACTCACAATACTCCGTCTCGTATGTGGTAAACAACCCTGTATAGTGTGCTTCAATATTTTTGTGACGTGAATATACATATTTTACGTTTTATCTTGAGATCATTTCAGGGTTTAAGCATCATTTGACAAGTACTTTAGAGTTTCTACTAGTTTACTAGAATCAACCATTTTAGATATACTTTTTGTTTGATGGTAGTTCAAGTTATTCTATGTGGCCACAAAATAGTGAGTGGTTCAACAAATTTCTATATTCGTGGAAAAAATAATCAAAACATGCAAGCAAAACAGAAATCTCTAGAATATATTCTATACATATATTCCCTGGCAAATGTACTGTTCTCGGAGAGAACAGTATGAACAGATGTACTGTTCTGTCAGAGAGCTATAATATGGAGGGTTCAGTGTCCAAGGTGCTAGACTTTTTGACAAAAAAAAATAAGACTGGAGAATGCAATCTCAGATCAGAAGAAGATCACGGGGAGACATTATGAAAAGGTGAAAAAAACAAGATCGCAAGAGCCTTGCATGCTGGGTCTTGGGCTTGCGTAACTCTTGCACTTGTCGGTCTTGGTCCTGGTAGATCTAACACTATACAGTCTTAATTTTGGCCTTGGAGCTGCTTTTTGTATAAATCTAAGACCCACTACCGCTCTAAATAAGTAATCCATGATGTTATATACTAGAAATATTCTTTATTAATCTGAGTAAGGAATAAATAAAATGTGGAATTTACTAAAATCAAATCCTAGAGCAGTTTACACGGAATATTCCATTAGGAAATTAAACATATGGCTTCCGTACACTCATTAACTCGCTAACTTTAATTACAACAATTCGATCTGACTTATAGATGATCACGTGGCTTAGTTACTCTACGATTTATAATTTGGATAGACGGCTGGTTATATTTAGATTAACTGATAACAGTTCCTGACCCCCGAATAGAAAATAGAATCTCAATTAATTGCCATTTACAGTGGCGGTCAGTGTTTTTATAAAAAAAATATATAAACAAAAAAGTAAAAGAAAAGCTATAAACACAAAAAAAAGATATAGACATTATTTAAATATAAAGTAAAATTAGCTTAGACAAGGAAAGAGAGGGGACAGCTAACACGCATATTCTCCAGTGAAAAATTGTTGAGGCCAAAATTTGATCGGCGGCCATACTTTGGTGACAAGATTTCGAGGTGACACCAAGCGAATTTTTATGTTTTTTTGTGAATACTGTTTTGTTTTAAATTTATAAACTGTGTTGTTTAGTATGTGATGATGTTCGGCTTATGCCTGCAAAGGCTGAAGCGAGAAAAAAATGACTGGAATTACATTTTACAGGTAAAAGTTGATACACAACTTGTGCTATGTAGTCACAAAATGTACATTTTTTTCATTATAGCAGTAAAAATATGTAAAATGCTTTTAATATGTCTTGTACCACATCCAAAGCAAACTATTTTTATTAATTCCAAGTAGTATTTTCAATATCCTATATTATAATTAATGTTTGAAACTATAAATAATACTACTCAGACAGGATTTCTCAAGTGGCGTAGGGTATTATAATCAGAGAAATACAATTTCTGCAATAAACATTTTTTTATATATTTTAGAGGTAAAAAGATGTATAAAGTATTGTTATCAAATATGTAAAAAAATAATTGTAAACTATAAAAAAAATCTATATATGTATAGTTGTTGCATAAAACTTAAATTTACCTGCCAAGATTTGCTGGGGGTGGACAAACTTGTGGTGGGCTTCTAGCTTCTAGAATAATTGTTTATTTTTTGCGGAAAATTAGGATATTCTTATCATTGAAGGTAACAAATATTAAATATTGCATTATTCATTGAATCGGTGGGCAAGTGTGAAGGGGATTGGCTAGATTCATTATTATACCGTATGATCGAAAAAAAAAACGGCGTCCAGTTGGCTTGTAAATGACTGTCGATGACATTCCTCTCAGTCTTTTTCGATGTCATTTTATATAGTTTTTATGTCATTTTATATGTAGAATTATATGCGGAATGTCATCGATCGTCATTTCCAAACACACAGGATGCCGTTGTTTTTCGATCATATGGTATATATGTATATACACGTTTAAAACATATATTTACATTATTTTTTATTTAATTATATATTATACACACGTTAATAAATAAATAATTGTCTTGATGATCAGTTCACTGTGACTGTTAAATAAATTTTGCATTATCGGCTTAGATATTCTAATATTATAAAAGTGAAACTATAAAATACAAAGTTGTATATGCATTACTCAAAAATAAACGATATATTAGTTAACGTTTTAATAAGCGTTTTTTATCGTTTTGGTACAAGTTAATTTCTGATTCTACGCCATTGGAGAATTTCGAGTGGTGACAAGTGGCTTCACTTTCAGCTGCCGTGTTACAGTTGCCCTCTCTTTCCTTGTCTAAGAAAATTAGGGATATAATATAGGTATTTTCTACTTTATTTTTACCAATGACTAAAGAATACAAGGACATGAAACGCCCATATACGGGCTGCAGCAGAATTTGTTACATTAGACGCCATCATATTGGAGCCTACGGATGAGTCACCACCTAGTCAACAGCGACAATTTTAGCGATTTTAATAATTTGTTGTGTGTCGTGAATTTTGTATAAACTTTATTACAATGGTGATGTGTTCAGCTTTCAAGTGTAAGAACAAGCCAGGAGTTGCGTTTCATAAGTAAATAAACAGTCCATTCCACCTTTTTAGCGTTTTCTTATTGAATTTGGTAATTATTTTTCTGATATTATATGTACTTGATATGTGCTAATCGTCGATACTAGTTTTGTACCTTTTGTTAACATTTTAATACGTTTTCTTCGTAATTAATTAGTATGATACCACCGCCTACACCATAGGCGTAGTCAAACCATTTGTCAAAAATATCCCATTAAGCAGCTAAGTTAAGAAAAATATATGGCCACGGCACTGTTTGGAGCCATGGTAACAATTTGGTCTCGGGTGTTATATGTTCTTGTATTCTTTAGTCATTGATATTCACCCTGTGTATACACGATCATAGTGCCACCACTGAAAGCATTTTAATCCATTAGATTTGTTTACGTTTAGGAAAGTTTATAAAATGCGATGAGTGCGGTTTTTCATTTTTATTTTCGCTGAAATTTATGTTGGAAATGTTTAGTTGAAACCGGTGAAAGAAATATTGGCATATTTAAAATTCGGTGTTGCTCATGCTGTGGTATTTTATACAAAGCTATTTTTAAAAATTAAGAAATAGTTTAGCAAACATTTCTCAGCCTCTGATGCAATCTACTTCTATCGTCACTGAGTAAAAAAACAATTAAAAATAAAAATTTCTGTTTTTTTTCAGTAAAGCACTAGTTTTAGGGTCTACGAATACATTTTTAAATATGGCCTAATACTTTAACACAAAATGAAGTAGAACCAGAAAACTTTAGTACGTTTTCTGAATGACTAGATGAACTTGGAACTCTGCACGAACTCTGACAGAAAGAAACAGATTTAAATTATTGTCAAGATATATGTAGCGACATCTGTCGGAGAAGTGAATAAACCACATGTGTATTGCTGGTTGAGGACTATCTGAGGACATTGTTGTTGAGGCGCCATCTCTTAACCAAGTAGAAAAGTAAGCGAATCAGGCGGCAGAATTTACTAGTAGGAGGCAGAATGATACCGACAATTTTAGAAGGTTCCAGAAACAGTCAGTAGGGTATACAAAGGCGTGCAATCGACAGTTGAGCAGTTTGAAATTTGAAAATACACCGTTGTAAGTTGTGAATCGTGTCAATTTGGCGAAGGAGTTTATAAATAGTTAATTGTGTGTTGTAATCAGTATAAAATGTGTGCATATAATGAGAAAATAAATTCATTAAGTATTTAATCGTGAGTTTAAATTATACTCTGTTTTTTTCTCTCGGTAAGATTTTGACAGACGATGACAGAGAAAAGCAGATGACGTCCCATACCAATCTATTTATTTTACTAAAAAAAGTTTCTAATAATTTTTAAGTTATCTATGGATGGGTTTAAATATAAATCCGTCATACGTCGTGTCTTCTTGTTTTTAACCAGTTTTATTGGTTTATTTAAAAAATGACAGATCGTATTTCAATTTTATTGGTTTGACGGAACGATGAACGACAAACGGACGCCGATGCGTATGAACTCGCCTTTAGATTTTTGTCATTTTTGACGCTTGTCAAAGTCTTGCCAAATTATTGGTTATAATTTTGTGTCAACTTTTGTTAAATACCCTGCATTTTGAAAGATGATGCATTTTGATTCGTATTATTACGTGTGTTTTGTGTCTTTTGAAGTCAAGTGGAGGAAAAATCGAGTGAAAATTAACTGTAGGCCCAGAGCACAGTTTATGGTTAATACACGCTGCCCAGGCAGAAAGTCTTATACACCAATGAAGTTGCCATCGATAAAGTTTGTATACCATTTCGTCGTAGATAAGTGCATTTCGTATATAAGGATCAAACTAAACACATACTAAAAACTGGAGTAGCTGTAAAATATCGACATCACACGATAGGTAAATAATGGATTTTAGTACTGGTGCAGAAAAATAATGTCAAAAGGTACTGGTTTAAAAAAATTAAGATTAAAGGTAATTAATCCACCTTTAAGGTATAAAATTTGGTAGGTGTTATTATTAATAAAATAGTTGTTGTATTTACCTATGTTGTTTTATTTATACCTGTGGAATATTACAAATTTGTATTTGTACATAAGTTATATTGATAAATATAATCATAAATGCGGGTAGTTTCATAAAGCTTGAAAGTAAATAATAGTTATTTTTTATATTTTTTTGGTATGTAGTGCCTTGTTCTTGTTTGTTTTGTATTAACACATACCGTTTTTATTAAATAAAATAACTCGATTACATTTTTTCAGTTTTATACAATTTTGAAGTAATCACTTGTCATCTTGTCAATCAAATTTTAAATATATCGCCACAGATATCGCTATGCGTTCCAGTTGTACCAACTTATTTCTTTGTAAAATAAAATAAACTACTTTGAAATTAAAATGACAGAACACATCTATCACTGTCAAAGGATCTTCTCGTTGGACAGACTATAGTGGACCCACAAAATTCGTAACATTATTCTATTAATGAACAACGGGTGCATATACGAGTTTGGCAAGACGACATTCAAAAATTACAGAAAAAACAATCTGCTTTTGAAATAAAATGACAGACCACACCTTTTAATTATGTTCCTGGATAATAAACTATATTAGGCTCTTATCTCCAAGTTTACTAAAAAATGTAGAATCCCAATACAATTTATTATTATATTATTTGCAACTTAATAACTTACAAAAGCTTAAAAAATATAGTATCTTTTTATTAATTATTTAAAACAAATTTTTGTATCTTATCAGACTATCAACAAAGTTACGTGTTACACTCAAAACTGTTGCACAGGTGGAACACTTGGAAACCAGCCACGAAGGCCTTCGATTATCAAGGGCTGGAGTAGTTGCATATTGTATTCACAAAATGTCAGATTGTTTGAGTCAGCTGCTGTTCCTCCAATATACTCTGGAGCACATGATCTGTACACAATGGATTCGCCTAAAAAGAAATAAATAAATATGTATAAAAAGATAGTGTATTTCTCTCTTGAGGGCGCGATTTTTAAAATCATTGTTGCCAACCATGAACTCGGCGCCGCGCCGTACTCAACTACGTAGACAAGGAAAGAGGAGGGACGGGTAACACGCATATTCTTCTGTGATCGGTTTGTGAGGCCAAAATTCGATCGGCGGCCATACTTTGGTGACAAGATTTCGACGTGACACCGAGAGAATTTTGTTTTTTGTGACAATTGTTTTGTTGTTTTTAAATTTATAAACTGTATTTCCTGTAAATTCAGTATGGTGAGATGTTCATTACGGCTGCAAAAGGCCGAAGCGAGAAGAAATGGCTGGAATTATTTCACAGTAAAATCGATACACAACTTTTGTTAGGTGGTCATAAAATGTACATTTTTTTCATTATATAGCAGTAAAAATATGTAAAATGCTTTTAATATGTCTTTTTTACCATATCCAAACCAAACTATTTTAATTCCAAGTAGTATTTTCAATATCCTGTATTATAATTAATGTTTGAAACTATAAATAATGCTACTACGCTACGGGAGAAATTCCCTACGCCACTGGAGAAATCCATGCTGAGTAGCATTATTTATAGTTTCAAACATTAACTAATACATATTGAAACTACTTGGAGCCAATAAAAAATGGACTTTGAGGAGATATGGTACAAGGCTATTAAAAAGCATTTTACATATTTTTACTGCTATAATGAAAAATGTATTTTACTAACCACATAACAAAAGTTGTGTGTTGATTTTACCTGTGAATTCAAATTTCCTGCCACTTTTTTCTCGCTTCGGCCTTTGCAGCCATACGCTGAACATTTCACCATACTAAACAACACAGTTTATAAATTTAAAACAAAACAGTATTCACAAAAAGCATAAAAATTCGCTTGGTGTCACCTCGAAATCTTGTCACCAAAGTATGGCCATCGATCAAATTTTGGCCTCAAACATTTTTCACTGAAAATATGCGTGTTGGCTGTCCCCTCTCTTTCCTTGTCTAAGAGTTGCCGGATTTATTTATTTATTTCCTGATATTGTCAAACGTTTTGACAGTTTAGTTTTGTATTACGAGATTTTGTTTTAAATAAATAATTTTGTAATACTTTAAGATTCAAAATGTTTACTAGCAGACCTTGCAGTCGAATATTGTTCTTTTTAGAACCTCTTTTTTGCGAAGTGCGAAGTGGTACAAGATAGCTTAATAGCCGTAAAAAACTCTTTACTAGAATATTTTAAACGGAAAAGCGGTAGTTAAGCTTAATCACGTGACTAAAACGTGACGTTATTGGTATACTGGCTCACATGATCCTCGTTTTACAACCATAGCTGACACTGTTTTTTTTTGTATATGTATTGTATTAATAGGTATTGGTTATAGAACAGAAATTGTTGTACAGTTTATTGTTTAATAAAACGTAATGTTTAAAATAAAATCATTAATTCTTACCGTTCAATAAGTCAATATAATATTTGGCACATGAATGGGACAAAGTTCCTCCACAGGTTTGTGATTTTAGAACAGCCGCATCAGACAGGTCCTTAGGACAATTTATTGAATCATGATCTTCGCAAAAGTAACAAGTTAGAGCTTGGGTACCTTCAAAACAATAAAAAAAATATAAGACACCTTTAGTAAATACCATATTCAAACCTAATAAACCTCAAAATAGCGTAAAAATAAAAAAAATGTTAATTTTTTTGAAAATTTACCTGCAACAAATAGGTAAACAATTGCAAACGAATACAAGACTCTCATTTTTTTCATTGTTCTGATTTTGTACAAACTATTAAAAATATTGGTGTATTTTTTCTTAAACTTACAGTTATAAACAATTAAGCCACCCACTTGAAAGAAATTGTCGAAATTGATTAGATTATTTTAAAAAAAGTTATTAGTTCGCCTGATTTCACTGATTTCGTTTAAAAACATTTGCTAGACAAATATTTATTTATATCTGATAATGCAATACCAGTGTTCGGGAAAAAACGTTTGTATACCAATTTTTTCTTGGAATGAATATGTCTTACATTTCCTGTTAACAAAAATATCTTGGTATATCCATATTCCATTTTTAAGAGTCCATTTCACTAGTTCGAAAAAATATCAAAATAAACGTTCGGCATTTAACGTTTTATGTAAAACTGGTAGTATTTTTACACAAATGGTAGTATTTTTACACAAATGAAGAAGGAAATTAAATATAAAGGATTATACTATATCCGTATTGTAGCACATTTTTAGACAACTTCTTTATTTTTAAGATTTTGATGCTCAAACATCAACAAAATATTCTTTATGTTTGGATTAAATTTTCTCGAAAACAAAGACATAATTAAAAATTCCGTTACAATACGGAAATAGATTGAAGTTTTGTGATTACAGTGATATATAATTTATATAGTTTTGTGGCAAATTGCTAGCTATTTTATGGCAAATGCTGAAGCTCTGCAAACTTTAATCAAGCCTTAATCAAAGCACGTGTGTTTGGAATTTTGGGTGTGGCTTAACACGACATGATCGGGCTAAGCCTCAGGGCAGATTTCTGAAATATAATATATATCTCCTTCGGCCACACACCCGTTTTACCCGACCCCTTAAAAGCGACACGAAAGCACAGCGTAATAGACTCTTAATAAATATGTTACTTTTATAGAATAATCATTTTAATATTTTATTGGCATGTTTCATTTATGTATTATCTATAATTACGAGTAATTGTAGACGGGTAATTTTATGACAAATCTACTGATAACAAAATTGTTTGTTCTGTATACAGAAGGGTGCACCAAAAAAAAGTTACCGTGAAAATATCGTTCAGGATGATGAAAAAACAAATCTGGTAAAGTTTTGAGCTCTTAATATTAATATTAAGAGGTTAGGTTAAATAACACGGGGAAAGAAATTTTTCTTTTGTAGAATTTTCTTGCGTTCTAACAAAACAGTGTTTTGTAAAAATCAATACATATTATTGTGGGAAACTGAACGGTCTTCAAAAAAGGTCTGATATGAATTTTCATTTAATCGACTCGTTTGAAAGATATTTTAGGTTAAAGTTCAACTTCAAATCGTATATGATAACTTTTACAATTTTTTATATTTTATCACGAATTAATAGTTCAAAAATATAAAATATCATATTTTATCAGGAAATAATGGCTCAAAAACATAAAATATCATATTTTATCACGAAATAATGGCTCAAAAACATAAAATATCGTGTTTTATCACGAAATAATGGCTCAAAAATAAAAAATATCATGTTTTATCACGACATAATGGCTCAAAAATAAAAAATATCACATTTTATCACGAAATAATGGCTCAAAAATATAAAATATCACATTTTATCCCGAAATAATGGCTCAAAAACATAAAATATCATATTTTATCACGAAATAATGGCTCAAAACATAAAATATCATGTTTTATCACGAAATAATGGCTCAAAAATAAAAAATATCATGTTTTATCACGACATAATGGCTCAAAAATAAAAATATCACATTTTATCACGAAATAATGGCTCAAAAATATAAAATATCACATTTTATCCCGAAATAATGGCTCAAAAACATAAAATATCATGTTTTATCACGATATAATGGCTCAAAAACAAAAAATATCACATTTTATCACGAAATAATGGCTCATAAACAAAAAATATCACATTTTATCCCGAAATAATGGCTCAAAAACATAAAATGTCATATTTTACCACGAAATAATGACTCAAAAACATAAAATATCATATTTTATCACAAAATAATGGCTCAAAAACATAAAATATCATATTTTACCACGAAATAATGGCTCAAAAATGTAAAATATCGTACATAACAACAACATACAACAACCCAAAAGTTAAAAAGGTGATGGAGTGCAGAAAATGTATTGTTTGTTTATTTACCTAGAAAAGTAATTCCTGGCTATTTCCTCTCTATGTGGCTTTCACACATGATATCTGAACAAATCACCATTGTAATAAAGTTTATACAAAATTTACTACACACAACGAACTATTAAAAATCGCCAAAATTATCCCTGGTGCCATATCCTTTGCTTGGCACCAAAAAATGCTATCCTATGATTCTACATCACCAGATTTTCATTAAATAACTTACTTGCTTTCAGTTTATTTTAAAAAACTAATAAAAAAATTATGAAAAGTGGTATTGTTTGTTTCTATGCAACAATATTTAACAAATTATTAATGGAGATAAACTTGCTTTGTTGGAATTTTTAACAAATAACGTTTCTAGAAAAAACGTATGTAGTCACTTTTGTTTATTTTTGATAGTTTAAAAGTTAATGTTAAAAGTAATAGACGCATCATTGATCAGTGAGCCAAGCCGCATTACATGCCACACTATGTCGTATAAGTTTGTGTTTTTGTGCTTTTTGGCAGTAACATTATGCAGTTATGGTAAGACATCATTTTGTTATAACTTGAACCCACTCCAACTTGTTGTTATTATTCTAAAAAATATTATAGACAAGTTCGTAGAATTTTAAAGCTAAGTTTTTTTGGCTTTTTTTAAATTAATGTTTATTACTAATTTAATTTATAGGGAAGAGTCTTAAATAAGTAAATATTTCATAGATGGTAGATATACATATTTTCTCTTTTGAAGATTAAAAATAATTTTTAATTTTTTGCTTAAATTTTGAGAACTTCGATCTTTTCTGAGTTTTCTTTCTTGTAAATTTAATCTACTACCTATGTTGCCATATTTTCAAGATATAAGGTTCTTTAAATAATAATTTTAAGAAAATCCATAATATTTTTCAAAAAATTACGAATTTTGTTTTATTTTTTCGCGAAAACAACCTCATAGACGTGTTTCTATAAAATATACTAGCCCTAAAAATATTTCCTTCTAAGACTCACACCAGGTTTATTTTTAAATTAATTAGCTTATAATTATCATTCAGCATAACGGCCAGGGTAATTTTTTTTTTTTTAAAATATGTCGCATTTATGTAACTTTTGCTCTCAAAATGATTGCAAAATCTTCAACCCTAAGCGGGGGTGTCATCCCCAACTTTTTTCAAATGGAAAGGGAGGTCAAGTGGCTCCGCAATGAAAAGAGCTTCCTATTCTCTATATTTCCCGCTTCGTTTTTAAAAAATCGGTCGAGTCATTGAGAAAAAGAAGGAGTTTGAAATTTGAAAAAGTTTATTTAAACATTTATCAGAGTAAATTATAAGGATAAATACCTTCGACCAATTTGCTGTTTTTTCTTATTATTTCTAGATGTTTACGGATTTTTTCACTTGCCACAAGGTTGGGGGATGACACCCCGCTTAGAGGGTTGAAGATTTTGCAATCATTTTTGGGGCAAAAGTTGTCTCACAAACAAAATTGACGTGTTTTTGAATTTTTTGAAACAAAAATATCCTGGCCGTTATGTCTTACGGATGCGGAACGTTTTCGATGGCCAAATTCTATATAATTTACTAACCGAGTGTTTCAGTCTTATTTATAAATTATTAAGTATGTATATCTAAATTTTGATAATATTATACCCTCCCAGTAGACTTTAAAGTAATATATTAACATTAGCGTAACTAGCAATTCATCCTGGGGGGCCTAGAGTAGATCGCAGTCAGTGGGGGCCTAGTGCTTTTGTTTTTTAAAATATTAAGAATAATAATATACAAAAAATAAAGACGTTTTTTTGAATAAAACGTCATGATTTTCTATCGATAAATATTAAGTTTAAATAATAACTGCAAAATATTATTATTTAAATACCTACAAATTTTGTAAAAAACCAAACTAACACTCATTTTTTGAACAAAACAAAATAATATTAACTAAACAAACTAGAGAACAGTTATTTTTACTATCACAAGAAAAATAGGTGTATCCGTTTAAAATTAGCGAGAACTGAAACTAATACCACAGATTATACAGATTATAAACCCTTTGTTTTTCTTTATTGTTTTTGGTGGTTCCAATTTTCGGAATCGGGCACTAGTTAGGTGACTGGTTTGCGCACATAGCACGCCCACCTATGGCTCCTAAAATTGTGCACAGCGTCTGACCTCCACAGTTATTAGAGAGATATCGGAAAACCGAATAGCGTCATGCAGTATTTACGCGTACCTTATCATGGCTACGATATGCGCGAGTCAATTTTAACGCAACACCCGCTAAAAACGTTACCGCTTGACGTAATTTGCGGATCAATTACACCCAGCGCTATTTCTCAAAATACGTTAAAAATTGCTTAAATGGGCATGTGCGGTATTTGACAACCGGGGCCGGCCGGCGAGATCTTTTATTTCTTTAGGTTATGTTTGAATTTTGAATTATTACTTTAGTTTTATTAGGTAATTTGATATTTAAGTAGCTGGGATTAGTTTTAATTAAATAAATATGGCCCAAAATATGGATTCCACCTCTTCTAATATTAAAGAAACTACAAAGAAGTTCAGGTTTACAGCAGATGACGACTTAGCCCTTCTAAGAGAATTTGTTGCTTGTTGCCCTAAACCCACTGGCAGACGTTGTACAATAAAGCAGTGGAAATAAGCACTTTAGCCCTTTAGTTTTAAAATACCTAGTAAACAAAACAATTTCAAAGTTTTAAATTCAAAGAAGCTGGTCAAAAGCAGACGCGACGCGAACAGAATTCTTCCCGATCCGATAACTATAAAAATGAAGAGAGTTAATACCACATACCACCTCACGTAAAGGAAATAACACCTGGCCTTATTAACGTCCATGCACGCTATTCGGTTTAGCGATATCTCTCTATTACGTTATTTATTGTTATTTTACGCGAGTTTATTTTTGCGCACAGGAAATTTTACTCGTTTGAACATCGTCATAAAAAACACTTCGTACCAGGAATTAGGGACAAGATTTTATCTGTATACTTATAGCTATAGATACCTAATCTGTGCTAATACAAACTCAGCCAGAATTACCCTATATAGCAGTAAGATTTTAACTTGTTTTTCCTCGAAATAAGAGCTATACACTTGTACTTTGTTTAATTTATCTAAAAAATCGATTTTCTTTAAAATATTATTTTCTAATACATGAGATGAACTTGAGATTTTATCATTATGTCTACAGACAGATAAGAGAGCTAGTCATCGAAAACACACATATACAATTAAACACCTAGAATAGAATAATATTACTCAACCAAAGGTTAAAATAATTACCATCATACAGTGACAATGGATCCAAAAATATTGTGTTCAGTTTTGGTCCTAACACTTTTTATTTGCATACATCCAAGTAAGTTGTTTTTTGTAGCGAATAATTTTAATAATAAGATATCTTTAGAATGTAAGAATGTTTTTATTTTCGATCAGTAATGTAAATCTCTTGTTTATTAAAAGCTTTCACTAGTTCGAAAAGTAGCAAAAATAAGCATTCGGCATTTATCGTTTTATTTAAAACTGGCTAGGTATTTTTACAGCCAAATGAAGGAAATTAAAGATAAAGAATTATATTTTCATATCCGTATTGTAGCACATTTTTAGACAACTTCTTTATTTTTAAGATTTTGATGGTGAAACATCAACAAAATATTTCGAAAGTAAAGACATAATTTAAAAATTGCTACAATACGGAAATAGATTGAATTTTTGTGATTACACTGATATAATTTATATGTTTTTAACAAATTGCTCGCTATTTTATGGCAAATGCTGAAGCTCTCAAAGAACTTTAATCAAACCTAATCAAAGCACGTGGAATTTTGGGTGTGGCACCACGACAGGATCGGGCTAAGTCCTAAGGCGCGTTATCACGAGTCAAATTTAGTTGAACAACTTTAGTTGACCAACAAAAATTGAATAAAAACTTCATTCAAGTAAAGTTCACATGTGCAGCAGAAACTGATAGTCCCGGTTCAGTTTAAAAATGGCGCCGATACAACGCAAAGCGTTTTCTGCGCATCTTTGTTTTAATAGTCACTGATGCGATAGTTCCAGAGGCACTCGTGTCTTTGATATAGTTCAAAAACTTCTTAATCACATTTTTCTGACCATTTAACACTCATTGTTCGCACTGTTTTTTATTTTCAATAATATTTGCGGCAAAAACTACCAAAACCGTGGTCAGTTGATTGACTGCCTAGTTCACACGTTTCAAGACTTGTTTCAACTTGAAAGCAATTCGGGACTTGAACGACAAAAGTTTGAATGGATCAAACTTTTGTTGAACAATAAAAAGCTGATCAAGTCCATTGTAACAGTAGTTCTCACTATAGTTTTTATTCAATTTTTTGATCAACTAAAGTTGTTCAACTAAACTTGACTCGTGAGAACGCGCCTTTTAGGCCGAGATTTCACAAAATATAATATATATTTCACTAAAGCTAACAAAAATATAAAGTTGATATATATAATATGTCATTCTATTCAGAATAGTATTTTCTAACACTCAAATAAAGTAAACTTAGGGTGTGAGGGCGGGGGAGGTTAAGTTTTTTTTTCGCAAATTTTTTTTTTTTTTTTTTTTTTTTAATGTAAAAATTTTATCTGATAAGACCTTATTATTATCTTACGAATACTACAACAATCTAATTCTTATATGTATTTTGTTGCAGCATCAGCACTGTTTTGTTATCAATGCAGAGGAGATACCAACAATTCTGATTGTGAACTCAATGTCCTTACTTCAGCGTATCAACAAAATTGCACAACTGGTTTTGTCTGTGCTTCTTATATAGTTGAAAGTAAGTAGATACGATATAGATATATATTTTATGTATACCTTGCATATAAAGATGAAAACGATACATCGACCTCTCGCCAATATCGCTGTTGCTCTATTATTTTTGTGATGTTTGTATCCCCAATCTTGTAGAATATAGAATGAGTAAGATCTATTGTGCCCCCAGGACTGTAAAAATTAATACACAGTCTATAACCAACCCATCATACCCCTGTTGTAGGGGGACAGGGTATTTCCATCCTCCTCTAACAACAGTTCTTCCTCTGAGGGTATACATCCTTCCACGGTTGCAGTTTGGCTATCCGTGCCACCCTTCACAGTCGAGCAGCTTGCCTCCGGCTGAGAAATCCGTGGGGTGGAGGCTGGAGGATCTGTCTCCATTTTCTCCACCTCTTTAACTTGGTCTCTCTAATCTCACTTGAAAAGTCCTCTACACTGGGTGCCTGCTCACCAAGGGATGAAGGCAATGAGAAAGCAAGCGATCTAGCTAGAATAGGAAGGATAACACTCACTCGACTCACTTGTGTCACTGGACCAGAACCGTTCTGCTTTCAAGTGGTAACCAACTCAAGGCGGAACTCAAGAACTTGGAAGATTCCATCCGCATCCTGGAATGGAAATCTTGCAGTGGTCTAAGACACTCGAAGAAAGAAGTTTCTGAGGCTTTAGTCCCAGAAAAATCACAAAATCTTCCTGGGTCTGAGTAAGGGTAATCTTCGGATTGTCACCGGGGTTTCTTTGAGGACACTGCACTCTCCTGAAATGAACACCTCATTAGATTGAAACTAAGAAGAAACGGCGAATGCATATTCTGTGGGGAAGATGGGGAAACACCAGTACACCTCATCACTGAGTGCGCCGGACGGCTGGCATTTCGTGCCATAGTACGACTGATATTGGAGAGATGGAGAACTACCCTATAAAACCGTCCCAGATACTTTTATTAAAGCCCTGAAGCTGTATGATGAGTTATGATTCAAGAAAGGGGGACACAATGGATCTGTAAGGTCGAAGTGATTAACCCCCCTCCCACTCATTCTAATTCTAATTCTAATTCTAATCTCCTTAGACCTGATACCGGTGTTGTCCCGTATCTATAATAGAGGATATGTTTCTTTGTCTCTATTCCTATTTTTCACAATTCCTATTGTGAGGACCTGTCCCCTAACCTATCCCCAATCTTGCAACTGTATCTTTAAAGGAGCGTTTATACAAGTCAAGTCAACTGCTCAAGTCACTTGAAATAATTTCCCATGAATGTTATATGTAATATCAAAAAGTATAAAATCTGCATAATTTTTGACTATTTTATAGGTTCGACTAATACATGGTCAACAGGGGATGTTTCGAGCCTAACGTTTGTGACGTGGTCAACGCCGATAGTTCACATGTCATTGGCGTAAACCGGACTGTCAAACTGTGCACAACGTGCAGTTCGAGTGACCTGTGCAATGCCGCACATCCAGTCAATTACAGCGCAATGCTTCTAGTATTCGTTCCAATAACGGCTTTATTTATAACTATTTTAATTATTTTTTGTTACTGAAGTATTTATTTCAAAATTCGTACAATGCAGATTCTGTAAAATTTTGTCTAATAATAGATTATTAATAGATTACGTTAGTATGCTCATAATGCCCTGCTGGGCATTATCGTATACTGGCTAACACACGATGGGCATTATCGTATACTAACACGCGTGATTGATGCGCCCAAGATTTAGGTTATCCAGTATTTTAGTATTTTTTGAATTAAGTTTCATATAAAATGTCAATATTAAAAAGTGTTTTGATGACTGTGTGATGAACAGCATTTTATTTTCTCTTTTACTATTTTTAATACCAAAAATTTATTTCAACATTTATGCAATACAGATTCTGACAAATTTTGTTTATAATAAATTACGCAGCATAGCCTTAAGGCGGTAGTACCTATGTCCATAATGCCCGGTGGGGCATTATAGTATACTAACGTACGATGGGCATTATCGTATATCGACACCCTTGATGCACAAGTATTTTTATTGTTTACTATTCATCAGTAATTTAGTATTTTTGGTTGTGAACTTTTGTATACAAAATGTAATAGCTTTTGGTTGTTGTTTTATATGCCCAATAATTTGTACTGTGTTACTAGAAGTTTGTTTATTAATTCTTTGAAATATCGTACAGTAGTATATGTATTATATGTAATGTCCAGGCGTGTTATAGGTTTGTTTACGTATTTCGTATCCTAGCAATAATCCTGAAGTTAAAAAGTAAAATAATAATTAGGAGCAGAATTGTTGTTTTGAACACAGAAGAATTTTGGTGAAATCTTTACATGTTTCTTAATATTAAATTAGTTATCTGAATATGATTTTATTTTTTAATTAACAATATTTTTTAAATAGATTAAACCAATATAGAAAAATGTGTATAGGATAGAACACGATTTGTCAAATTACATTTAAGAATATATATAATACAGAATTTTTGTTATTATTTTATATAAATAAATATAGTAAAGAAATATTTTTGCAAAAATAATAATTTAATTTTATAAATAATTTTGATGGCATTTTATTTTAGTATAGTTTTTTTATTTAGTAAGATCTTTCAAAATTTGTATTGTATTTGTAAGTATAAAAGCCTTGGATTTATTTAACATAACTCAATTTGCTGTATTATTTTTATTAAAAGTAGCTTTTTTGAGACATTTTCGTTCTATTAATACTATATAAATAACTTTGAATCTATATCTATAAATTTTAATATTATAAACAACCTAACCGAACTTAAAATGTGTTTTGTTTCTCCTGTAAAAACAGGTTTTGAGTATTTCAAAGTAAGGTATCGATATTCTTATTTTCCGATTGAAAATTTCCTCTGTCGCATGTTCCAAGTCATTATTTGCTGTATCACCGAAATAATCAGACTATCAATTTTCCTTAAAAAAGTACCTTTTCCATTAGATTAGAAGGTCTCTTTATCAATATATAAATAAAGAGTGCATGTATGATTAATCGAAAAGGAAAGGCATACATAAATAATGAATCCTCTAGATTATACAAATATTCCTCAGTAAGTTTAAGAACAGTTAGGTATTCAAAATCACATAGGTAGTGCTATAATGGATTCAAAAATCTTGTGCTCTGTTCTTGTTATAACACTGATTTGCATTTATTCAAGTAAGATGATTTGACTATTGCTGACATATTGAATAGAATACTTAAAATTATGTGTTTTAGCTCTTTCTCATGCGACAGAATGTTATTATTGTCATCCAGACCATGAAAGTAACAAATGCTTCGACCCTACCGAAAGTTCATCACAAAACACAATAATTAATTGTAATGAGCAATATGGTCCACCAAGTGATAACGCTACGTACATTTGTATCTCTGCTAGCATTAAATACGGTAAGTAGGTAGTGTTGCATTTATGGTTGCAAATGTGTTGGTTAAATTTATAAAAAATTAATTAATATACTGGCAAATACTTTTTTTAAAATAGATTTCTTAAGAAAATTATTATATCCCCGGATTACATTTACAAGAGGAAAAACTTTAAAAAATAAAAAAGTTTTTGCTCATTTTTCCTCCTCTCGTAAAGTAGGCCTGTTCCAAACATCGGAACACCGTTTTAACACCGGTGTTGGGCTGACACCGGTGGCCAAATATAGACTATTCGGTGTTCCGATGTCGACACCGACACCGGTGTTCGTTTCGATACCGGTTTTCATCTCGACACCGGTGTTGGTCTGGACACCGGTGTTCTTCTCGATACCGGTTTTGACCACGACACCGGAACTTTGATAATGTTTACCAGTGTTTTGTAAACGGGTTAAAGAAGCAATAATGATAATTAATAAGTTCAAAATAAACCTGATAATAATAATGTCGTATGGGTGCTTATTTTTATGGTTTATTAAAGCGCACCGACTTTATTTTGACGTTCAAATTTTAAATATAATTTTTCTGTCAGACTAATCACTAAAATAGAGTAGAAGCGTCAGATAAACAACTATAAAGTAAGAATTGTTTAATCAAAAACAAATAGAAAACAAAACATAAACAAATATTTTTTTTTTTTTTTTTATTTAAAATATTACATTAAAAAAAAAACGGCACCATCGACATCGACGATCGACACCGACACCGGTGTCACGATAAACACCGGTGTTGTACATGAACACCGGTGTAGAGATAAACACCGGTGTTGAAATGAACACCGGTGTTGAGATAAACACCGGTGTCGTTGTTGACACCGGTACACTGACTGAAATAGTGTGTTCAAATCTCAACACGGAACAGGTCTATCGTAAAGACACTCAGTTGGCATACTGTTTATTTGTTTTCTTTCAAGCGTTTTAAAAATACTAGTATGAATCGACTTGTAAAGAACAATATATGTAACTCTCTCTGAAAAAAATTCGTATTACCCCACATGTAAAATTGTAAACCATAAAAAACATTAGAGTTTCTCTTATCGTTTAATTGGAAGGAAGTGAAAGAACTTAAATGAAGAATTAGAGTCAAAAATTACCACTGTGACGCTGATTTTTCTTTGATCTGACTATAGTGTATTCTGCAAACCAACTTTCTTTAAAATAATAGCCATTTTTATACAAGACGATGAAATGTTATTGTGGACAAAAACAGTGTATAAAACAATATCTTTCCATTGCCTTAAAAAATATTCAGGAAATTCATTATTTCAAGGAATTTGGTTACCGTAGAAAAAATATCAGTTGGCTTATGCTGATTCTATGTAATCTTTTGACAAATAAATGCTTGCCCCTTTAGCTGTCAGCCTTTGAGTCAATATTTCCTTTTAATTCTCTCTCGTGTCGATTGTTGATTGAATTGGAGCCAGAAATGACTCAAAACGGAAATAAGTAAATTACTTTCAACAGATACCTTTCAGGTCAGTTGACAGCTTCATATACTTACCTCCCATTTAAAACCTGAATAACTTAT